TCAATCATGATCTGTTTAGCATTTACTTCCCTCTTCATGTTTTTTATTAGGTCAGCATAAGTTGTACCTGTGTGTGGTTTTATTATGAAAGTATCCCTATTTTGTTCTTTCGGTCTTTTAGCGTCCTTCCACCATGTTTTTGATTCCTTTTCGTACAGAGGTATTTTCTTATTCTCTCTTCTGAGCTTGTATTCCAGCATTTTCCTGACATTTTCTTCCTCCACCTGTTCACTTGTAATGGCTACGGTGTTTACACCCCCATTTTTTTCCATTAGCCTTATCACTTTCTCTATATTCCCATCTAGATTTTCCCTGTCTGCACTTGTCTTACCACCATTCTCTAGTACAATTAGATACATGTATCTGTTGGTACTATCTTCTACCTCATTTTCATCCCCTATTATTCCGTTGGTTGTCACGCTGCAGAACATTCTGCCTGCTTCTATTTTGTCCTCTTTTATTACCCTTTCCAGTTGCGGATTCCTGGCCATGGCTGCCTTTATTACCTTATTTTCTACGGCTTCTCCCTTATTCATAAAGATTACTATATCCTCTAGGTCTTTGTCGTCTGCTTCCGGTTTTTTCAGGGTACAACATCTATATATGTCCTCTGGCCAAGGCAGGTCGAATAAATCTTTTAATTCGTTTTCTGTCAATTTCTTGCCAATCTCGTTTTCTATTCGCTTCTTAATTTCTTGCTCTTCCTCTTCTTTCTGTGATAGTGTTTGCGTGGCAATTTCTTTGGTCTCCGCCTGCATTCTTGTGCTATCTTGGATAGGGTCAGTTTGGATGCTTATTTCTTTTGTTTCTACTTTATTTTCATGATGTAAGTTAGTCTCGGTCCTCTCTCTTTTTTCCCGGGTTTCCTCCGTTTTTATCTCCTCCATCAGTTCTGCCACTATGTCTGTAGCCATTGGTAATTTCTTTGTTAAATTGTCCATTTTCTTTATAGCGTTTTTTATTTCCTTTTTTGTGTTTGGTATTTCCGTAATCATTGTTCTAAGCGTTTTCGTTTCTTCCGTCATCTTTTTAATGATATCCTTTAGTACTAGGTATTCGCTTTCCGCCCTTCGGATTAAGTCTTTTTTCTCTGCATCGCTTTTTACTGGTGTCCCAATTCGTTTTCTTTTTTCCCCTGCCGTATTGTCATCTTCATCGCTAACACTAGTAATACTTAGTGTCCTAGTAGGTGTTCTTCTTAGCGAGTTTCTTCTGACAGATGGGTCACTATCTTCGTTCCACTGGTAGCTGGTTTCAGTATTAAACTCTTCTTTGCCGCTGGTTTGTGTAAAATCGTTATCTTCCATCCTGTTCCCACGAGTAGCTAGGGAACCGCTGTCCATCCGAGCAGAGCCCCGCATGCCCAGATAAGGCCTTGCCAAAGCCTACCCCACGCGCTCTCGCCATAACGGTGGGGGTCGTTCCAGACTCCTCTTCCCCGGAGCCACGCACACCCTCGCCACGACTTTCCAGCTTAGTGTTGGGAGATTTTTTCCAAGGTTTACTCCTTGTTGCTAATTTTGGTCCGCGCCGACTATTTCATTTCATCGGTACCACCCATATATAATAATATGAGAAGCGTTCCCCAATCCGCCACCCGGGGACGCGCTGGATGGGAGATTAGCAACTCCACACCAGAGTAGTAGTAGTAGTAGTAGTAGTAGTAGTAGTAGTAGTAGTAGTAGTAGTAGTAGTAGTAGTAGTAGTAGTAGTAGTAGTAGTAGTAGTAGTAGTAGTAGTAGTAGTAGTAGTAGTAGTAGTAGTAGTAGTAGTAGTAGTAGTAGTAGTAGTAGTAGTAGTAGTAGTAGTAGTAGTAGTAGTAGTAGTAGTAGTAGTAGTAGTTTTTTTTTTTTTTTTTTTTTTTCTGGTAGGGTGGGAATCCATTACGGACACCAGGCATGTGGTTCTGCCCGTACCTGGTAGTGTAGGACTCCCGGCTGAAGGGTGCAAGGCCGGTATACCCACTAAAACCACCCCATTCGTCGATAGTGGACCTCCTCGGATCTGCCGGCTGGTATTACTACGAGGTAGGTCGGACGTTATTTGTTGTTTTCTGTATTTTAACCTTGTATCCTCACTGCTTCCTTTCTTTTGGCAGAGACAATCATCATGGCCATCTTGTTAATTTTTTTCCAGTAATCTTCTCTGGCTAGCATTTTGTCAATTAGGATGTCTGGTGTTAGTTTCCCTGTAGTCCTCTCCGTGTCTGTTCTGATCTCTACCCATCTAATACATTCAAAGAATGTGTGTTCAGCTGTATCTTCTAGGCCGCAATATGTACATTCGTCGGTGTCCACAATTTTAAAACGTTTTAAGTACGCCTGGAAGTTGCCATGTCCGGTTAGGATCTGTGTAATAAAGAAGTTTACTTGTCCCCATTTCCTGTTTACCCATGGTTCGATGCGTTTAATTAGCTGTTTTGTCCATTTTGCCTTATTAGTTTCCAACTCCCATTCTTCCTGCCATTGTACTATAATTCGATCTCTTGCTTCTTTCTTTATAACCCCGTTCTGTATAAGTTTCCTTTCTTCCACTAGCAAGTGTATTGGTGGAGTCCTTGCCATGACGAGAAGTGCCTCAGTGGACGTTGTTCTATAGGCGCTAGCGATTCTAATCGCGGCCTTCCTCTGGACACTTAGAAGCATTTTTCGATACATTTCTTTCTTTATGGCCCTTTCCCATATGCTAGCTCCATATAGCATTACAGACTGTACAACTGTACATAGGATTCTCCTACTATCCTCTCGTGGGCCACCTACATTTGGCATTAGTCTGCTTATGTTTCCTAAGGCTTTGCTGGCCTTCTCGGCCGTTTTTCTTATATGTTGCCCCATTCTCAAGTTTCTGTCCAGATGGACGCCAAGGTATTTGACACTCTCTTGGCTTTCAATCACTGCGTCTTGTACTTTGATTTTTATAGATTTTATTGTTCTACCACCTGCCAGTATAACTACCTCCGTCTTTTGAGGTGCAATACATAGTTTCTTTTCTTTTAGCCTATCTACAATTGTTTCTATTGCTTGGTGGGCCTTATCTTTCAAGTCATCTTCGTTCTTCGCCACTACAACTATTCCTAGGTCATCTGCATAGCCAACTAAGGTGACTCCGCGTGGGACAGGTAATTTTAGGATATCATCGTAATACGTGTTCCAAAGGATGGGTCCTATAACAGATCCTTGTGGGACTCCGCACGTTACATCTATTTTACTGTTTTCTCCTACTATTAGGCTTCTATCTTGTAAGTAAGTTGCTATCAGGTTGTATAAATATCCAACGGTTCCTCTACGCCTGAGGTCATCGAGAATTCCTTCCCAGGGGGCCGAGTTAAAGGCATTCTGGACATCTAGCGTTATTAAAATGCATCTTTTCCTTCCTACTCTCTCATTTGCTTCATCAGCGATTTTTTGTACTCTTTCCAGGGCATCGGTGGTTGTTCGGCCCTCGCGAAAGCCATATTGTTCGTCTGATAGGTCTCCGGTTCTTTCTATCTCTTTTTTGAGTCTCTTGGCAATGAGTTGTTCTAGAAACTTCCCCAAAACATTTAGTAGACATATTGGTCTGTATGTCTTTTCTTGTTGTCCAGGCTTGTTTTTCTCGATTAATGTTAACCTTGCCAGTTTCCATTCTTTGGGAAATATGCCTTCCACGAGGATGTTATTGAGAATGACGAGACATTTTTGGGCATGGTCTCCCACAACAACTTTAACTAGTTCGGGTGGTATCCAGTCAGGACCCGGTGCTTTTCGTTCTCTGATTCTCTCTTTCGCCTCTAATAGTTCCGCTATTGTGAATAAGGGTATCTCATTTTTGTCCACTCGCAACTTTTCCCATTCAACGGTTGGATAGGTCGGAAATAGTTCCTTAGCTATTATTAGTTTCTGGTCTTCTGATAGACTTATAGGCGAGAAAGATTTTAGTTTTCTGCTGACAATTTGATAACCCTTACCCCAGATATCATTGTCTACTTCATCGATTACCTTTTGCCATGCTGTCTTCTTTGCCTCTAATATTGCCGTTTTTAGGAGTGATCTACTTTGTTTGTACGATTCCTTACATTGCCTTATTTGAAGTACACTGTTTCTTTTATTGGCCCTTGATAATACCCTTTTAGCTTGAATACATTTTTTCCGCTTATCTGCAACCTCATTGTTCCACCAGTAGACAGGTTTTCTATTTGGTATAGATTTTTTCCTTGGTAGGTTTTTATGACACGCCGTTTGGATTATTTTAGTCAGATCTTTTGCATCTATTTGGTCAGTCCTCTCGTCCAGTAATCTGCCCACTTCTTCTGAACAGTTTTTAATGTTAGCTGGTGATATTTTCCAGCCTTTATTCGCTATTCGTTGTTTTTGTCCATTTTCTTTCTCTGTCGTGTTAATATTGTAGGTTATGTGCTGGTGTAGGCTCAAATTTTCTTGTTCTAGAACTTTCCAGTTTTTGACGTATTTCGCAATTCCCTTGGTAGTAAAGGTAATATCGATGTACGATTTACTTTCTCCCCTTACGAAGGTAGGTACATCGCCCACGTTGTGTATCTCCAGATCTTCTTCGCTCAGCCATTCTGTTAGAATCCGTCCCCTTTTGTCTTCCACTTTGGAGCTCCAAAGATATGATTTAGCGTTAAAGTCTCCACCAACTAGGATTTCTTTTTTATGTGTTTTCATGTCTATTCGTAGTCTATGAAGGTAATCAGTAAATGAGACAATATCTATGTTTGGTGATATGTAGCAACCATATATAATAACCCTGTCTGTTTCGATCCACACGTAGCCTTGTCCCTCGCCCTTCCTAGTTACTTTAATACTTCTATTAAAGACATTTATCGCTATCTCCAGATTAGTATCAGTGATCCATTGGCTTTTTATCACTTTTTTTATATTTGGTTCGGCCATGATGATTATGTCTGCCATTTCTTCCTCTGCGAACTTATATATTAGGTCTGTAGCTTCCCGTCCCCTGTCTACATTTGCTTGTAATATCTTCATATTATGTGTGGTGTTTTAAAAGACGCTGTTAGTTCTAGCCCTCTTCTCCTCATTATGTGTCTTGATTAAATTCCTATATTCTGGGCATCTCATCGTTTCCGCTGTGTGTCCATTTGTGTTACACAGGTAACAATGTTCTTCGTTAGTGCATTCTCTTTTTTTGTGTCCGCCCTCTCCACACTTGTGGCAGTTATTTCTGTCCTCTTCTTTGTATTTACACTGGTCTCCCCTGTGTCCAATTCTGTGGCACTTACGGCATCTTTGCACGGGATCTAGCTCTCTTATCCTCCATCGGTTCCATCCTTCACCAATCCTTTTCTTCCTTGTTATGTAGCTAGCCGCATCCGGCTGCATTGTTACAAAGGCATATCTGTACCCATTTTTATTAGGTTTTTCAGCCAGTTTGACCTGGGACTCATCCACAAAGTTGTTTTCGTTGTTTATTTCCCTTTTTAGCACTTGTCGTATATCTTCTTCCCTAACGGTCTCATCTATATCCAGGATCATGAAGGTTTGTCCTTTCGTTTTAACGTCTATCTGGGCGACGTTGGTGAGAGTTGTGTTCAGTGCTGTCGTGAATGTCTTCCTGTCTTTCTTGTCGTTTCCTCTTATTTTCAGTTGTAAATTCCCACTGGTTGTTTTAGTTATCCTTTCTATCGTGATTCCCTCAGTTTTTATATCTTTTTTCATGTCCTTGAGAATGTCCGCGAAGGATGTATTGCCCGTTGGTTTTATTAATATGGTTTCTTCGTTGTTTTCCCGTTTGTTTTTTATTAACTCCCAGTTTATTTCTTCGTCTCCGTCTATTGTGTGAGTTCTATTTTTTGCCATAAGAACTTTGAAGCTGATGTTTATCTTTCTTCCTATATACTCGAGGGTATTTCGAGTGACTCCGTGATCTATATTTTGGTCTAAAACACACCATACATGACTCACCGGTTTTCTATCGGCGCATTGTTTGATTTCAAGCAGGTTTTCCTTCATTTTAATTCTATCCTTAGCTGTGCCTAGACCTTCTGTTAGTGCGATATACGTGACCAGCTCAACTGAGCTTTCGGCTACTTTCTCACCGAAGAGTCCGCTCCTAGCGACGCCTCCGATCATACTACCAACTTCTAGTTTGTTTTCCTCCACATATTTTCTAAGCTGGGGGTTTCTCTCCTTGAGCTTTCTTAGCAGTAGACTATTATTAGTCTCTCCTGCTTTCATAATAAATAATACATTTTCTTCCTCTCCGGTAATTGCTTCTTTGTGTATTTCGCATTTTTTGAAAGCATCATTTGGCCATTTCCTTTCCAGTTGTTCTTGGAGTTGGTCGTCGTCCATTTCAAGGTCCATTTTCTTTTCAATGTCCATTACTAGCCTTTCTTTTTCCAGCTGTTGATTACTGACTGTTTGTGTGCCCATTTCACACACGTTTCTCTTGGGAGCAACGGTGATTCGTTTGCTTGAGTGGGTCTGTAGTTCTTCTATTAGTTGGTCAATGAAGCCAGTATTTTCCGTTATTTTTTGTGTATAAGCCTCTACTTTGTGGATGGCATTTTTGATTTCCTTCTTTGTGTTCGGAATAGTAGTGATTAGCGTTTTTAATTGCTGCGTTTGTTCTGCTGCTCTTTTTATAAGATCGGCTAGTTTGTTACGTTCCGTTTCCATCTTTTTGATAAATGTTTCAAATTCAGTGTTTGTTTTCTCCGGTGTGTCCTCGCGTTTTCGTTTTGGGTCGGTACTAGTACTTCCTAGGTTTAGAGAGTTCGTTCTCCGTTGCGTAGGAGGAGTTCTATGAATGGAATCTTTCCTTTTAAATGCATATGATTCATTCTTTTGATCTGTTTTGTCTATTGTGTTCCCGTCCGTGTTTACCTTGTTTCCTCCATCCTGATTAGGATCGTGAAATACCTCGACATCAGTTTTATTAGTCTCGGTTTCCATTTTCTCTCCAGTAAGGTTTACCAGCTCCCCAGTTTGCGTTTCTTCCAGAGCCTGATAGTCTCCCTCTTTATCCCCGATTTCCCCATTTATATTTTCTTTATCCATACATTCCCACGAGTAGGGTCGAATTTTCGGTCCGGCAAGGCAGTGCGCCCTTACCCTGCTAAGACGGATTTCTTTTCTTTCCCCTCCGGTCCGCCGGTTCCTTCGGGCATCGCTTGCGATTTCCACGTTTTACATCCCGAAACCATTCAGCTCTCAACACGATGGTGTTACATCTTAGCTTGGGATGCCAATTTTGGTCCGCGCCGACTATTTCATTTCATCGGTACCACCCATATATAAGAATATGAGAAGCATTCCCCAATCCGCCACCCGGGGACGCGCTGGATGGGAGATTGGCAACTCCACACCAGAGTAGTAGTAGTAGTAGTAGTAGTAGTAGTAGTAGTAGTAGTAGTAGTAGTAGTAGTAGTAGTAGTAGTAGTAGTAGTAGTAGTAGTAGTAGTAGTAGTAGTAGTAGTAGTAGTAGTAGTAGTAGTAGTAGTAGTAGTAGTAGTAGTAGTAGTAGTAGTAGTAGTAGTAGTAGTAGTAGTAGTAGTAGTAGTAGTAGTAGTAGTAGTAGTAGTAGTAGTAGTAGTAGTAGTAGTAGTAGTAGTAGTAGTAGTAGTAGTAGTAGTAGTAGTAGTAGTAGTAGTAGTAGTAGTAGTAGTAGTAGTAGTAGTAGTAGTAGTAGTAGTAGTAGTAGTAGTAGTAGTAGTAGTAGTAGTAGTAGTAGTAGTAGTAGTAGTAGTAGTAGTAGTAGTAGTAGTAGTAGTAGTAGTAGTAGTAGTAGTAGTAGTAGTAGTAGTAGTAGTAGTAGTAGTAGTAGTAGTAGTAGTAGTAGTAGTAGTAGTAGTAGTAGTAGTAGTAGTAGTAGTAGTAGTAGTAGTAGTAGTAGTAGTAGTAGTAGTAGTAGTAGTAGTAGTAGTAGTAGTAGTAGTAGTAGTAGTAGTAGTAGTAGTAGTAGTAGTAGTAGTAGTAGTAGTAGTAGTAGTAGTAGTAGTAGTAGTAGTAGTAGTAGTAGTAGTAGTAGTAGTAGTAGTAGTAGTAGTAGTAGTAGTAGTAGTAGTAGTAGTAGTAGTAGTAGTAGTAGTAGTAGTAGTAGTAGTAGTAGTAGTAGTAGTAGTAGTAGTAGTAGTAGTAGTAGTAGTAGTAGTAGTAGTAGTAGTAGTAGTAGTAGTAGTAGTAGTAGTAGTAGTAGTAGTAGTAGTAGTAGTAGTAGTAGTAGTAGTAGTAGTAGTAGTAGTAGTAGTAGTAGTAGTAGTAGTAGTAGTAGTAGTAGTAGTAGTAGTAGTAGTAGTAGTAGTAGTAGTAGTAGTAGTAGTTTTTTTTTTTTTTTTTTTTTTCTGGTAGGGTGGGAATCCGTTACGGACACCAGGCATGTGGTTCTGCCCGTACCTGGTAGTGTAGGACTCCCGGCTGAAGGGTGCAAGGCCGGTATACCCACTAAAACCACCCCATTCGTCGATAGTGGACCTCCTCGGATCTGCCGGCTGGTATTACTACGAGGTAGGTCGGACGTTATTTGTTGTTTTCTGTATTTTAACCTTGTATCCTCACTGCTTCCTTTCTTTTGGCAGAGACAATCATCATGGCCATCTTGTTAATTTTTTTCCAGTAATCTTCTCTGGCTAGCATTTTGTCAATTAGGATGTCTGGTGTTAGTTTCCCTGTAGTCCTCTCCGTGTCTGTTCTGATCTCTACCCATCTAATACATTCAAAGAATGTGTGTTCAGCTGTATCTTCTAGGCCGCAATATGTACATTCGTCGGTGTCCACAATTTTAAAACGTTTTAAGTACGCCTGGAAGTTGCCATGTCCGGTTAGGATCTGTGTAATAAAGAAGTTTACTTGTCCCCATTTCCTGTTTACCCATGGTTCGATGCGTTTAATTAGCTGTTTTGTCCATTTTGCCTTATTAGTTTCCAACTCCCATTCTTCCTGCCATTGTACTATAATTCGATCTCTTGCTTCTTTCTTTATAACCCCGTTCTGTATAAGTTTCCTTTCTTCCACTAGCAAGTGTATTGGTGGAGTCCTTGCCATGACGAGAAGTGCCTCAGTGGACGTTGTTCTATAGGCGCTAGCGATTCTAATCGCGGCCTTCCTCTGGACACTTAGAAGCATTTTTCGATACATTTCTTTCTTTATGGCCCTTTCCCATATGCTAGCTCCATATAGCATTACAGACTGTACAACTGTACATAGGATTCTCCTACTATCCTCTCGTGGGCCACCTACATTTGGCATTAGTCTGCTTATGTTTCCTAAGGCTTTGCTGGCCTTCTCGGCCGTTTTTCTTATATGTTGCCCCATTCTCAAGTTTCTGTCCAGGTGGACGCCAAGGTATTTGACACTCTCTTGGCTTTCAATCACTGCGTCTTGTACTTTGATTTTTATAGATTTTATTGTTCTACCACCTGCCAGTATAACTACCTCCGTCTTTTGAGGTGCAATACATAGTTTCTTTTCTTTTAGCCTATCTACAATTGTTTCTATTGCTTGGCGGGCCTTATATTTCAAGTCATCTTCGTTCTTCGCCACTACAACTATTCCTAGGTCATCTGCATAGCCAACTAAGGTGACTCCGCGTGGGACAGGTAATTTTAGGATATCATCGTAATACGTGTTCCAAAGGATGGGTCCTATAACAGATCCTTGTGGGACTCCGCACGTTACATCTATTTTACTGTTTTCTCCTACTATTAGGCTTCTATCTTGTAAGTAAGTTGCTATCAGGTTGTATAAATATCCAACGGTTCCTCTACGCCTGAGGTCATCGAGAATTCCTTCCCAGGGGGCCGAGTTAAAGGCATTCTGGACATCTAGCGTTATTAAAATGCATCTTTTCCTTCCTACTCTCTCATTTGCTTCATCAGCGATTTTTTGTACTCTTTCCAGGGCATCGGTGGTTGTTCGGCCCTCGCGAAAGCCATATTGTTCGTCTGATAGGTCTCCGGTTCTTTCTATCTCTTTTTTGAGTCTCTTGGCAATGAGTTGTTCTAGAAACTTCCCCAAAACATTTAGTAGACATATTGGTCTGTATGTCTTTTCTTGTTGTCCAGACTTGTTTTTCTCGATTAATGTTAACCTTGCCAGTTTCCATTCTTTGGGAAATATGCCTTCCACGAGGATGTTATTGAGAATGGCGAGACATTAGTAGTAGTAGTAGTAGTAGTAGTAGTAGTAGTAGTAGTAGTAGTAGTAGTAGTAGTAGTAGTAGTAGTAGTAGTAGTAGTAGTAGTAGTAGTAGTAGTAGTAGTAGTAGTAGTAGTAGTAGTAGTAGTAGTAGTAGTAGTAGTAGTAGTAGTAGTAGTAGTAGTAGTAGTAGTAGTAGTAGTAGTAGTAGTAGTAGTAGTAGTAGTAGTAGTAGTAGTAGTAGTAGTAGTAGTAGTAGTAGTAGTAGTAGTAGTAGTAGTAGTAGTAGTAGTAGTAGTAGTAGTAGTAGTAGTAGTAGTAGTAGTAGTAGTAGTAGTAGTAGTAGTAGTAGTAGTAGTAGTAGTAGTAGTAGTAGTAGTAGTAGTAGTAGTAGTAGTAGTAGTAGTAGTAGTAGTAGTAGTAGTAGTAGTAGTAGTAGTAGTAGTAGTAGTAGTAGTAGTAGTAGTAGTAGTAGTAGTAGTAGTAGTAGTAGTAGTAGTAGTAGTAGTAGTAGTAGTAGTAGTAGTAGTAGTAGTAGTAGTAGTAGTAGTAGTAGTAGTAGTAGTAGTAGTAGTAGTAGTAGTAGTAGTAGTAGTAGTAGTAGTAGTAGTAGTAGTAGTAGTAGTAGTAGTAGTAGTAGTAGTAGTAGTAGTAGTAGTAGTAGTAGTAGTAGTAGTAGTAGTAGTAGTAGTAGTAGTAGTAGTAGTAGTAGTAGTAGTAGTAGTAGTAGTAGTAGTAGTAGTAGTAGTAGTAGTAGTAGTAGTAGTAGTAGTAGTAGTAGTAGTAGTAGTAGTAGTAGTAGTAGTAGTAGTAGTAGTAGTAGTAGTAGTAGTAGTAGTAGTAGTAGTAGTAGTAGTAGTAGTAGTAGTAGTAGTAGTAGTAGTAGTAGTAGTAGTAGTAGTAGTAGTAGTAGTAGTAGTAGTAGTAGTAGTAGTAGTAGTAGTAGTAGTAGTAGTAGTAGTAGTAGTAGTAGTAGTAGTAGTAGTAGTAGTAGTAGTAGTAGTAGTAGTAGTAGTAGTAGTAGTAGTAGTAGTAGTAGTAGTAGTAGTAGTAGTAGTAGTAGTAGTAGTAGTAGTAGTAGTAGTAGTAGTAGTAGTAGTAGTAGTAGTAGTAGTAGTAGTAGTAGTAGTAGTAGTAGTAGTAGTAGTAGTAGTAGTAGTAGTAGTAGTAGTAGTAGTAGTAGTAGTAGTAGTAGTAGTAGTAGTAGTAGTAGTAGTAGTAGTAGTAGTAGTAGTAGTAGTAGTAGTAGTAGTAGTAGTAGTAGTAGTAGTAGTAGTAGTAGTAGTAGTAGTAGTAGTAGTAGTAGTAGTAGTAGTAGTAGTAGTAGTAGTAGTAGTAGTAGTAGTAGTAGTAGTAGTAGTAGTAGTAGTAGTAGTAGTAGTAGTAGTAGTAGTAGTAGTAGTAGTAGTAGTAGTAGTAGTAGTAGTAGTAGTAGTAGTAGTAGTAGTAGTAGTAGTAGTAGTAGTAGTAGTAGTAGTAGTAGTAGTAGTAGTAGTAGTAGTAGTAGTAGTAGTAGTAGTAGTAGTAGTAGTAGTAGTAGTAGTAGTAGTAGTAGTAGTAGTAGTAGTAGTAGTAGTAGTAGTAGTAGTAGTAGTAGTAGTAGTAGTAGTAGTAGTAGTAGTAGTAGTAGTAGTAGTAGTAGTAGTAGTAGTAGTAGTAGTAGTAGTAGTAGTAGTAGTAGTAGTAGTAGTAGTAGTAGTAGTAGTAGTAGTAGTAGTAGTAGTAGTAGTAGTAGTAGTAGTAGTAGTAGTAGTAGTAGTAGTAGTAGTAGTAGTAGTAGTAGTAGTAGTAGTAGTAGTAGTAGTAGTAGTAGTAGTAGTAGTAGTAGTAGTAGTAGTAGTAGTAGTAGTAGTAGTAGTAGTAGTAGTAGTAGTAGTAGTAGTAGTAGTAGTAGTAGTAGTAGTAGTAGTAGTAGTAGTAGTAGT